AAAAGAAGTACATCGTTACATACCTACACTGCTGCAGTATGTAACACTTCACCTTCCTTCAAAGTATTTTTTTGCACTGTGATTAAAAGAAGAGCAAAAATAAAATCTTTGCTTTCAGAATGATTAAACGTAGTGAGTCAGCCATGAGTCATGAGCGGAGAGAAGGTAAAGCGCCATTAGATCTGAAATCACAAATGCTGCTACGTGAGGCAAAAGAGTAATGCCATTATCTTCAAATAACAGCCTCATGACCTCAATGCAGACAGACAGCAGCAAAAGACATGATCGCACTCAGAAAGTTAATAACCTATTCTTTGATCTAAAAAATTGTAGTTCAATTGTCTTACCGTATTTTTCTTTCCTGGCAAACATCTATAATTGTAATTTATGTGCTGATATGTACTTGCATTCAAGGTTTGTGGAAAAAACATAAGTAGCAGAAAACACCACAAATTCCATAGTGTTTAAAATGTTCCATTATTTTCTTTATTAATTTAATCTCTTTTTAATCAAACATTGTTATTACTGGGCTGTATCTGCCACATTAAAATCAGCAGGTTAGAAAATGATCCACGAGAACTGCAGTGGTATATCCTGGAGCAAAGAGACAGTGACAGCTAAAGCATGGTGCTGAAGGGACAAAAAGTAACTACAAGGAATTAATAAAAAGGAAGCAGGAGAGTGAGTAGAAACTGGGAAAAGGACAGAGCCATGTTACTGGAATTTAAATAGAAAAAGAATCATTAGAGGAAACTAGGCAAATACAAGTGAAATAAATATAACAGTAACAATGTATGAACAGTGTATTGGGTTTTTTTTGAATATTAAGATATCAGCCTGTTGACTGATAGGAGCAGTAAAGAAAGTAGGCACCTTTAGGTAAGTATTTGCTCTCATCAAATAGAAAATAATAATTAAAAAAGTAAAATAAAATAAAAACAATAAAGTAAAATATCTGTGGATATAGAATATACCACTATGTACCTCCACACATAACAAACCTAAGGTAAGAAAGGAGAGGATATTTTACAAAGATGAATAAACACTAAAGTAAGAAAGAGAAAAATGATGAGAAAGAATAAAGGAGGAAGCAGTAAAAATATATCAAGGGGTGGGGTGGAGAGAATTCATTTTGTATCACTTTTCTGTGCCAAACCATAAACACAAGGACACTCAGCAGTTCATTCTTACTCAATGTTTCCACATTTTTCTGCTGTTTTCCATAGGTGGGGCAAAAAAGACAAAGAACAGAGCCAAGCTTTCCATTGGCCTTGATAATAACATGGAAGTGCTTCTCCAGCATGGGAGATATCTTATTTTTGCTTTATGTTGTGGTTTGCACCTCAATTTCAAATGTGGCATTTTAACACTTGTTTTCTCTATAGAAAGACAAAATCCTGGAAGTCCACAGTACATGTCTTGTTTGCTTTGCCCCATCTGCTGGGGCAGGAAGGCAGCAGGGCATACAGTGGTGAGGTCTGCGTGTGCTGAGAGTTACTGAGGGTCAGGGCCCCTCAGAGAGCTGGCTTGTGGTCTGCTTTGTTTGAATTCCAAACTGAATTGCTGGTCACACACCAGCAGGGAACCAGGAAACCCAGCAGAACTCTGCCTCATAGGCATTGTATATGCCTGTGCTGGAAACAGAGGTTTTATGGAAAAAGGATAGACCAAGAATAGTTTTTTCCCATTCAGCACTAGCAATCCCATGCTTAAAAACTATGAGTCAAGCCTCATGTAATCACTGGGGTTTTTTAAAAGGGATATGTTTTAAAATATTACTGATTAAAATCTTGTTTGCCTTTTAGATTTTGAACTTTTTATAGGTCCTGTTTTCAGCAGGCAAAAATATTTCTTTATTCACAACATTTCAGAGGCTGGAGTTTTAAGAAAAACTTCAAGTAAGGGCAATATAGTTTACATAATAGGCAATGCTTTGAGTATTCTCTGAGAGTTACTATTGTTCTTGATGAACTACATTGCTAAGACTTTGCTTTTTTTGCCACAAATTAAAGAGCAAATAAGAAAAATCCAAACAACTCTTACCATTAGTGACATGCAGTTTAGCAGTTTCTTATCACACTGCATAAACTCCTGAAAGCTCACGGACATTTGGCCGTAAAAAGCTCTAAAATATCTGATCAACTACCCCCTTTAGGTAATGAGCAATGATGTCATTAATCCTGCAAATCTGAGAGAAAACTGAAGACAACAAAGACAAGAGAAAGTGCCCTGGGTCCTTTGTATCTGGTCTAGGTTACAGCTTTAACTGTCAGCATCTATCCAACAAAGTGCTCTGGTTTTATTACACCAGAAAGGATACGATGTTAGCCAACTCTCAGGAATAAGCAATTGTGCAACTCTGTTACTTTTAATCAATGCACCTCACCAAAGCTTGAATTGCAGCAAATATTACATCATTCTTGTTTTCATACAGGGAATGCTCTGCCCTGATCCTGAGGTCAGCAGCAAGCTTTTTGGTGACTTGAATGGTGCAGGGTCAGGTCTCAAGTGACACAGGATTCAGCTGCTTACTTCTGGGTTTTCAGTAACTTGATATTGCTGTGTACATAGTCCAGGAAAGGCCATGTGTAGGGATGTGACTTTACAACAGCTGGTAGGAGCAGAGAATGGCTTTTTAACAGTCTTGATGAAAAAAAGTTCTGTTTATCCACATTCTTCTCCTAAGGTGCATCACTGGGGAGTTTAATAACAAACAAGAACAAAAGGAAGTCTTATGCAATAGTGCAAATTGCAAACATTATTTAAGAAGTTTCGTGCCTGGACATGTGAGGCTAGCCTGTTAGTCTAGAACATTTTTCTTTCTAGAGACCTGAAAGAGTGGTTTACTGAAAGAAAGATAGCTACTTACACAATATCTGTTAGTTCTACATCAATATTTTGTCCTCACATAATTCACCTTATTTCACTTGATGCCATATGATTGTTCAAGCCATGCAACATGGTCAAATTATGAAGAAATAAGTTGTGGGATATTAAAAAACTGAGGGGAGAAGGCTGTCTCATCAGAATATCATGGTAGCAGTGAGCATTGTTTGCAGTTTGCATTAAAGTAATTGAATTAACTGCATGATCTATATTAACTGCACATAATTCAACTCAGTTGCCAACTGGTCTCCAAAGTCTCCCGACTCCCACCCAGATACCTTTGGGATAATTATTTCACTCTTTGCAGTGGATATAAAGACAGCATAAACTAGATCCAGTAGTGGTTTAGGTGCCTAAAATATTATATAATTTATATTTTAAAAAACTTGTGACAAGCAAGTTGACAGGGATATAGTTACTTACCACATAGCCACTGAAAGAATGGTGCAAAGGTGTTTCTAAGAGCTTGTCCCTGGAACTCTCTTCTCCAAGAATGGCCAAGTCTGTAGCCAGAGGATTGCTTATACATACCTGGGTGATGTTATTGTGAAGCACAGGAGTCCTGGACACCCACCATGAGTCTGTTCAAGCCTTCAGTCAAAGGAGCTTTCTTAGACCCTACTGATCAGTATGCAATGGAAGGAGGCTGCTCCTCTCCTGCACCTTGCTTTCAAATTACCTATACACAATAGCAAGTCCCTGGAAGCAGGAAATTTGGATCTAAAAACCCTTGGAAAGTAGAAATTTTTTTGGCCTCTGCTTTAATGACTAGGTTGTCCTCATCAGACACATACTATACTTGCTCTTGAAATCACAATCCTTTCCTCTTGTAAATACATGAAATTCATTAGGACAGCTTTAAAATTAATTTAATTTTTCTTAATTCTTCATTGTTGCCCCTCCAAAACTGCCAGTTTTCAAATTCATAAAATGTTAAATTTTTTTCCTGCTCCTGTCTCTTTGAAGGATTTATTTCAATAAAGAAACTGACTTTCAGTATGATTCTTTGTTATATTAAACTGACCATATCACCACAACAAATTTGGAAAATATAGGTGTCCTAACTCACAGGGCCACATAAGAACTTGGTAATTTTCTTGTACTTCTAGAATCAGATTCTGTTATTTTTTAAGATTATATATTAAATAAACTATCATTAAGGTTCCTTGCAATTAAAGCATTTTGATGATTCTATTTTACAATAAAGATGATACTATCAATAGACAGTGCAAAAATTTTACATAAATAACATTACTGTGTTTCTGAAAATTTATTAGAAACATCCCTTTCCATGGACAGTAGCATCTGTTACAGCTAGAGACTGAAAATATGAGTTAATTCAAAGTAGGTTTTCTAAATCTGAGATGTCTGTTACACTGCCATGAAATGAAAAGTGTAAAAAATGAAACGGGTAAAAAAGCAGAACACAAACACATTTTTAAATCCAGGTATTATTACTAGTTTGAAGCATCTAAGGCAGACTCCATTTTTTAGCTACTTGACTTTAAGCATTTCTAAAAGGCTTGGAGCCAAAAAAAAATTTGGATGACTGTGAGGAAAGAAAAACAACCCAGATCCAGTATTTTTGCCAGTCCTGCTGTTTGGAGACTCCCTCTACCATTTGTATTTAATTTTCCTATCTTAGTACACACCATCTTTCCAGCAGCTTCTGAAAGACAAGACATGCATCTCCCCTGACATCACCCAGCAGGAAACTACCAGAAATTAAGGGCCCAGCCTTGCAAATATATTGTCACGTGAGTGGCAGTGGGATACCCGTGTGTAAATCCTGGTTTGATCACTATCTAAAGTTGGCAACGCAGGTGTATTCTGTAAATAACTCAGCCTAAGCTGCATGTCTGCATTATACAACGCATGCATCTGCCAACTTTATTGAAGATGTTTCAACTCATACTAGGTCAAGTTATTTTACCATGCTGTTTTTAATCATTTTCTTGCCTCAACTACTCATCCTCGTGTAGCTGTATGTTATGAACACTGAATTGGGCATGACATGGAGATTCTGGTGTAATTCAATCATTGCAGAAGAAATGACATTCACATATGTTTATGTTTAGCCTCAATAAGGAGACAGTCAATCACTTTATACCAGGTTACATCAGATATGATTTTAATTATTCCTCTTGTGAAAAATACTTTTCACATATTATTACTAACAAAATCACTGCAAAAATTAAATTAGTTTTACATGGTTTTGAAGAATTTGTAATCCTATGAATGCAAAAATCTATGCTCTGCATGAATATTTGATTTAAATTGGGAAGAAATTAAATATTTCTTTAAAAAAATCAAATAAAATTATTATACTCCCTTAGGAATCTTTCAAACCTTCATAGGAAATCACAAATCTCTCATATCATAAGTGAACTGATTGCAATACAGCATGATTCATGGTTGATTAATTCCAAGGAACTTAGAAGGTTATTCTGAAGTGCTGTTTCCACATTTAAGGTGATGTTAGATCCGCTCTTTCAGTGGTGTTTATCTTTGAATGAAGTGATCCGCTTCATAATTTGGATTCCCCAGAATGCAGCACAGAGGGAAAACAAGACCTAAAACACAGAATTTACAATGAGAATGAGAAACATTATATGAGGTTGATTTGGTTTTTTGGGGTTTTCTTTTTAGTTTTTTTTGATCTGTAAACATAATGAATGGGTGAAAACAGAGAATTTGACAAAAAAACCCAAGAATTCTAAGTATACTGATAAATTCACTTTAGAAAAAGATGCTTTCTTTTTTCTACTACTCTTTATTGTGGACATTCCTGTTGAATTTTGATAAATGATCTGAAGAATGCTGACACAATAAGTGGCATGATAAGATATGAATAACCTTAAACAGGATCTATAGCAAAAGAAGTGTTCTAATTGCAATACAAAAGTATTTATTCCCCAACCTGCTGTTTAGGATGAGATATAAGGTAGATTGTAAACAACTTAAAAGTGCAATACTCTTTATCTTGTCCTTAGCTCTTTGCAACCTAATTTTTTTTATTTGGTGAATTTATTGAGAGATCTAGTAATTTTTTTTCAAAATCTATTTGCTGAAAACTGCATTAGGATGAGTAGTAAAGATTTCAGAGTAAAGTCTAAATTAGGTGATAGTTCTGTCTAGAACCCACAATGGAGCAAGATAAAATATGTATGCACATGGGTGCATGTGATATTTTGTATTTAACATTTTCTGAAATAAACTTTTGTCTTTCACATAGAAAAATTTCTCTAACTTGGAAAATTGCAAAATGTAGGCAGTTGTTATTGGTTACTGGAGTGATTTTTTTTTCCATGACTAAAACAAAATAATTTGTTTATACTGAAAGATATTTTAATAATGTGATTTTTTGCTTTTGAACATTTTGAAAAAGAAATTTTGAGTCAGGTTGTAATAATTCTTTTTTCAGATCAATCTCTAATCTAAAGGTGCTGACTAGGAGAGCTCTAATTTTAACATTAACATAATTTAACATTCGACATTTAATAATGCATGGCCCAAAGGTCTACTTCTGTCTTTATCTAGACAGTCACTCACTGAAGTACATGGGATCAGAATGTCCAACATAAATAATAAATTATCATAATACCCAAAAGGTACTAATTTTTCACTCAGTGAAGGCAGTGTCTGCTCTGATCCCTCTCAGAATCTTTTTGGGACAGGTACAGGCTTCATGCAATGTGTACTTTAGGTGTACAATATGCATATTTAGTAGCACAAGATGAAAAAAACACAATGTAGGAGTAAGTAAATTAAGTAAGTAAAATTCAAGTAAAATACAATTAAAATCCCCCAATTCTCATTCATTTTTTCTGAATTTCAATTATTTTCATTAAAGGCTTTAATTCTACTTGAGCAGGGGTAGACTGTCTAGTGTGTTTAAAACCTCTGATGATGCTATTGGCACTGTACTTGTAGTCCTATTTGCAGGCAAGACTCATAAAGCGCTCACCAAAAGATTTTTTTGGTAAGAATTTCAGACTTTAGGAATGAAAAATTTAACTTCTTTTTATTTTCTTGCATTATCACAAACACCTTGTAAAGCTGTATAGCTCTATTTTCACAGCTATGGAAAGGAAAGTCTTTTTAAGCAGCACTGCAGTCACACACTGCGTGTTTGGTGAGATTTTTCTATGCTGAGATGCTCTGCAGAAAAAATCTAATGCAAATAACTATCTGTATTTCTTATCTGGCTGTTATGCAATTGAGATGAGTATAAATTGTGATGAACATAAAACAATGACTTACATAAAACATGCTCTTACTGTGGAAAAATTCTGTCTATCTCCAGAAACAGAACTTATCCACTTGTCATAATTAGTACTTCTTTGACAGATTAATAAACTTATTTCATTCCTCACCTCAGAGAGATCATTCCTATTCCTGGAAGATGCATTAAATATAGAACTATTGTATTTTTAGAAGAAGCACACTTTATGACTGAGGTGCAGGGCATTCGTAGGGGATTAATGACTGTTGGGACATGATGATGATCACCTGAAGAAGCACAGCCATGGGCCATTAAGCCCCAGGAAATGTCCTCAGCTAAAGATGGTTATTGCCATTATGGCCTGAAAATGAACAAAATATCTCAGGTGAATTTCTCTTTTTTAAATTAAGTGATGCAGTTTCTTCGTTCTTAATTAAATTCTTCACCGTGAATTTCCTAAAGCATGCAATCAATGCTTGTGGGGAAGTATTTAGAATTGCAGTTATTTTATCCAGAATGGAAAATCACATACTGCACACTGTGGATCTGCAAAACTAGTTTGGCTTCAATTCTATAAAATATATCAATTCTATAAAAGTATCGACTCATTGCCTATCAATGTCAGGACTGCCAATACTTGATGGAAATAACGCATTTGGGAAACAATAATGCTGCAAGGCTCTGGGAGGTGGAGGGGCTAAGAAAAACCCAAACATCAGGATAAAAAATTAAGGGGCCACATCCTTGCCTGCATGACAGCAATTCTGGCTGTCTGTACTGCTGTAATGCTGACCTGCCCTGAGCAGAGCCAGCTGTATGGGGCTACCAAGCAGAAACTTGCTGTGTAGGTTGGAGCTCAGTTTCTTTTGATTGCTGCTACATATTTTGGAGTTACAAGACTTGATCCACTTGAATGAATCGTGCAATCAGGTGATGTCAGGAATGGAAAGCTGAGACCATACGTGCCAGAACTCTGAGCAGACAATAGTGTGGGCAGCAGGAAGCAGCAAAGAGCATTCCACCAGGAAAGCTGAACTATAGTTGACCAGTATTTTTCTAATGCCCTTGGGAAAACATATTTCCTGAATCCTATGTGCAGATATTTTGTATTTTCTACTCGGCACTCCCACATGTGAATGGGTTAGGGTTTTTTTTTTTGGCTGTTTGGCTTTGGGTTATTTCATTTTCTAAATTATTTTCACAGAAATACTCATTCCTTCTTATATTGTCCAAACCCACTAATACTTGTCCTTTGATAAAAATATTCACATACTGGTTTCATAATTCATCTGGTTTTGAAATAAAAAGAGAGAATTTAGTATTATACCTTTTTCTTTTTTACACTGAACAAAGCCTCCCTCACCAACAATATGACATAAGAACAATAGTTTCACTTCTGTCTTAAAATGAAAAATTACTGTGGACAGTATTCATATATGGAAGAAGTCTAAAAGCAGGATTTCTCACAACCCTATATTTAGCCAAGTTAAATGCAAACTTTTTGCCACTTCAATATAAACACTTGTTACATTTACCTGTTCAAGTAACTACAGATTAATTATAGCCTGTCCTTTAGACTGCTGGAAGAGCACAAATATTTACATTACCTCCTTTCATATAGTCTATTTCCATACAGCCCATATTCTCTCCCTGAATTGTAGAAATGCAAATAACGTTATTCACAAGAACAAAGATGGCTTAACTAATGGATTGACTGCAGGACTGAGTCTGCTATTCACAGGAAATTCCCACTGGAGCAATCTAAGTTTATTAGTCTCTAAAGTACTTTAAAATCATTAGCTGAATTCAGGCACCCACTTCTGCATGATTAGCTTTGTTGCTGAACACTAATGTTGTTTTCTGCCATTTTCTCTTTTGTAATGTCTTTGTATATCTGAGATGCCTAGACATGATGTCTTTCTTTTCTCCTGAAGATTTCATCTGGATAGAATTAGAAGGCTTTAGACATTGGTCTAAAAATGTAGACAAATATCCAAAGATAGTTCTTCTTTAAGGAGGGGCAAGAGTCTTGAACCACCACCTCAGATTCTTTCCAACCTAAATCATTCAGTGATTCTCTGACATTTCTCAGATTCTGCCCTGATATGTTTGCTCCAAATTTTGCTGAAGAGAAAATCTACAACTGCTATTCACAACTTCTGGGGTACAACATCATATGAATGGGCTTATTATATTGAATTCTCTGAACACCTCTGTGCTGGATAATGTATTCTTAGCTCTGGAGATGGCTCAGGAAGATCAGCACATCAACATATTTCATTAAGTTTGCTGGTCACATCATAGAGTGGACCTGATACTGGTAAATATGATAAACAATTAGTCCTCTCAATGTGATGCTGAGCATTGCCAATGTAATGCTAGAGCGTTTAACTGATAGTAAACATGATTAAGGCTCTTTTTATGTTCTTTATATACAAATTTGGATATGGCTTCTTCACAGGTACGAGACATAACTTTATACCATCAACAGTAATGATAATGTAATTTTTTAGACTTCATCTGAGACTGTCTGGACTGTGTCTGGGTAATGTCACTGTCCTTTCAAAATAAAGATGGAGATCATAAACTGATACAAAGGCTGAAAATTTTTTAATATTATTAACAAAATGATTGAACAAACTACTCTAGATTTCACAAGTACACAAATGATGCATTTTTCACCAATACCATATTTTTTTCCCCATTTCTCTACAGATGATTGTTACAGGTGCTGAAATACACAGAAGAGATAGAAAATTTATGTCTTATAAGGAGAGGAAGATGTTTACTATTTCTGCAAGTCAGGATTTGGATAACAAATGCATGTATCTTCATTCTCAGTACAATGTTTGGAGACGAGCAGTCTGAGGCTAGTAGAGAAATGCCATAACATTAGTAGCAAATCCAGAAATCACTAATCTTGTACAGTGCACAGACCAAGAAGATTGCACTTTAAAAAAAGTGGCAATAATAATAGATGGAAAGGGAAGCTAGGAAACAGGAAGGTTCTTCTTCTGTGTGATGACTCCCTTATGCTTGGAAATATATGCAGAAGAAAGTGGGAAGCTAATTTTTCTTTGTTTTGGTGAAGGAACTGTGGATACAAGGGAACAGGGACAGCTACAATAATAGTGGCTTCACAGCTTTTGTTCAAGATTTCTGTAAAAGCAGCAGATGTTTGGAAATTCTCCATTAGGGCTCATGACACACCTTCAGACTACTGGTGCAGCAGGTCTCAGAGATCCAGCATGCCCCTGACCTAGAACAAGGTGCCTATCTGATGTCCCTGCTCACTGCAGGGCAGGTGGAACCTGACTATCTCTAGAGATCCCTTCCTAGCCCTAACTA